CAGAGGAATGAAAAAGTATTCCGTCAAATAGATGTTTAAAGCGAAGGACATCAGGATAAACACCATCAGATCAGTGGATCACAAGAACTGATGCCCCATCTCCGCGAATGCCCCACGTCTCGTTCCATCAAAGGTCAAGCGTCCCTTCATAATTAGTAGACATCCCCTTTCCTATTCTTGGACATCCAGACCTCTACCGCCTGCCTTTCAGAAAAAATTCCAGTTTCGTACCTCAAAAGTTGCGTTAAAGAGACTGTTACTGAGGCTGCAACAACGGGACACTCTATGGGAGAACATCCTCACTCTTTGATGGCTTCGCTCGAGTCACCTCGACAGGAGTAACTGCTTTTGTTTTCTGTCGAACTCGTGCTAATATCAGCACTGACGTCTTCGAAAATTTTGTGAGGGATTTCTATAAGCTACTGATTCCCAAGGTAGCGTACCGGCTTCCAGCCAGATTTTGCCCAAGACTTGAATAATTAATTTGCTGGGCGAGTGTCCACCTTGAACCTTTACTTCTTAACCCATTTGGCGCAATGGCAGGACTTGTGGCTGCCGCGAAGATGCTCACGTGGGACAATGGCATCCACCGGGGTACGGGCTTTCAAATGGAATTTTTGAAAAAAAAGGAGGTCTCTGGGAGATTTTCTTTGCTGTGAAGAATCTTCATACCCTCATCTATCTAGGCCACCCCTGGGCAAAGGAAATCTCTATCCACTAGAATTTTATTGAAGAAAAAATAACCTGACTTCAAAATTTCACCGAAAAAGTTGAAAATTTTTTTCCGCTGAAACTTTTCCCATGGGGTTTTCGAGGGTCCTGATCTCAAATATGATATCCATTTTTGGCGCTGGCGCCAAATTGGCGCCATTTGGCGCCAGATGGCGCCCTGACTGAATTTCATCAAATTCGCTGTAAACTGGGGTTATTTGAGGCCCTGATTACGAATATGACATTCGTTTTAGTCGTTGGCGCTATTTAACACCTGTTTCCTGCTCGCCTGCACCCTCTCACTATTGGATCCAATCAGGACTAACAAGGGGGTCGTTCAGGATGTGGAAAGCTTTTTCGAAACGGTTTTCTGTATGTTATGGGAGCTCATGCGTAGACTACGAAACCGAGGTATATTTCGCTGAGCGGCCC